GTTCTGGCAACTTGGTGTTCATCCCAAAGAAAGATACAAAACTGCATTATGTCTACCAAATCGCCACCTTCAATAGAACGTCTTACCTTTCAGCCTCAAAACAGCACCATCCCTATTCCAGCAAGCAATGCTACAAATATTCAAACCTCTTCTTCATACGTCTTTGATATACATCGACGACATCCTTCTCTTCTCAGCCGATGAAAAGGAACATATTCAGCTGCTTCAACAGTTTCAAAGCATAATCAGAGAGTACGGACTTATGCTCTCAGCCAGAAAGATGTTCATAGCCCAGCCCAACATTGACTTCCTTGGCATGCAGATTACAAACGGTAATTTTACACCGCAAGCCCATCTTGCTACAGCACTTCTAGATTTTCCTGATGAAAATCTCACAAAGCGACAAGTTCAGCAATTCTTTGGCGTAAGCAATTACGTTAGCGACTTTATCCCGTAACTTTCGCAGTTGACAAGACCGCTACAGAAGATGCTGACAAAAAATCCACCCCAATGGACAAAACGACAGATTGAAGCTGTCAAAAGTCTAAAGCTAGAGGTGCAGAAGCTACCACCTTRAAAGATTCCTTCAACAGGAACACGCATTTTGCAGACTGACGKAAGTGARAAATATTGGGGAGCCATTTTATTTGAAGAAATAAATGGAAAACGTCAAATCTGTGGACACAAAAGCGGACGCTTCAAAGATTCTGAAATCCATTATCACTCCACTTCAAAGAAATCCTAGCAGTCAAAAGTGCTATTGAGAAGTTCAAGTTCCATCTGATAGGACATAAATTTTGCATCGAAATGGATATGTCATCCTTCCCGAAGATGTTACAATTCAAGCAAAAGATGGTCCCACATCAGCAGTTGTTGCGATGGAGTGAATGGTTCTCAAAGTATGATTTCGAGTCCTTCTATTTAAAGGGCACGAAGAATACTCTTGCTGACATGCTCAGTCGAAACCCAGTAAAAGAAATACATATGATGGCAAGCTCTTCTGCAAAACGTTACTACGACTTCACCTCCAACATGCCAGAAGACGCTCATCAGCTTATCAATAGGAAAGCTCTGCACGAGCATCTTAACGATAAGATCTTCTACTACCAATCCATCATCCTGTCAAAATACGGAACCAACAGTTATCATATCTCACCATTAGGGATTCACCCAGACTATTCGTTCGCACATCTTTACAGATTCGAAAACATCAACATGCCAGAAGAAGTCCTCTGTTTTCTCTGGTTCCTCTGCTCGGTTTACACCATAGGTATTGCTTTTGATATACAATGGCTATATCAGTACATCAACGCTCAACAAAGTCACAAGTAATGTTTTCAACATTCTTAACATGGTTTGCACCTCTACCCGTCTGGAGTGGAAAGTTGCGAAGATCAGCAAAAGCAATAAGCCTACCATTCAAGAAGCTAAAAGGTCAAAGAGGTCTTAATCCTTTCTTTAACCCTCACACGATCTACTTTTTCCATCGGCCCGTTCAAGTCAACACCAAGTCCGAGAAAATCCATGCGCTACCGACTCTCATTCATCACAACGACTATCATCGAGGAGTTCGTCCTGATTTCAATATCAATGACAACAAAGCATACGAAGATTTTCAGACTCACGCATTTCGCTTCAACGCTAGGCAAACTTTTCCGGTACCCTATATCCCGAATTGGACTTACTATCCAGTTAGTTATCAAATGAGCCTAGACAAAGACCTACAGTTCTTCATGGACAACATGGAAAATACGCCAAACGTCTCCGAAATTCTGAATTCAATCAAGCAAGAAACACCAGCCAGAATACTTCCAAGATGCACAACTTCCCGATGATTCGATGAGTATTGATAAAATTGGCAAGATGTTCGGCATCAATATCAACGAAGATTCGCAGAAGCCATACGAAGAACCAGAAATGGAATACGAATGCCCAGGCGATCATTATAGCTGCTGCGACAAACACATCATCAAGTTTGAGATGGACCACTAAGTAAGATATTTTTAGTGTGTTTTAAGATTTCAGTGTGTTTTAAGTACTTTTAAGTGTGTTTTTAATGTAAAATAAATAAATATGTAAGCATGATGTAAGTGATGATGTAATCGCTGCTTATGTAAGCATGATGTAAGCAATGATGTCATTGCTGAGGTAACGCTTATGTCAGCGCACTCATCCTCACATATAAATATGTGTGAACCCCCATTGTAAAATATCAAGTTTGGAAAACATTAAAAACGTCTCTCTAAGTTTTTCTCTCTAAATGTCTTTCTAAATCCTTTAGTTTTCCGGACCTTCAAACTTCTTTCATAAGTTCTGGTTTCTATCTTCCATCCCGGAAGTCAAGATTCTGCTCCATTGCTTTAGATAAGTACGAGTGGATGTCAATACGAAGGTCAATATGATTTTTCGTGGGGAACGTATTATCCTAAGAGTGGTTGAGCTATTGAATGGCCAGAGTAGTGCCGATGTTTGCTCCTAATATCTAGATAATATTATTGCCCTCGTCTGTCAATAGGACTTAGTCAATACAGCGTCCTCTCGTGGTTGTTTAGACAATGGTAGCAGAGCCAGCATCTTCTATCGAGTCATTAAGTTCTTGTATACTGCTGATTACAAAAAAAAATTAATTATTGTTGATAGAATCGAATATTAAATCTTGCTTTTCGAATTTAACTAGTCATTAAATATTTGAGAATTAATGCTGATTTTACAAATTTTAAAATTTTACTAAAATAACGAAATGCCATTAATGAAAACGCTAGGTCACGCGTTTTTCTTAAATCCAAATGTGAGATTTTACTTCTATGGCAACTAAAATAGTATTGTCGTCAATTTCAGATATTTTGCTAAACGTATTTCTAATTTAATATTTTAAAGATATTTATATGACACATTTGAGAGTACATTCTTTCATAAGATGATTCCCATAAACTAGAACTGACAATGGAATATATAAACAAAATATTAAAGAGGGAACAAATACAATCTAC